GAGTCTGGCTTCTTTTCCATAACATCTCACGCTGTAAAACCTCATCTCAACCTGGTCCTTTAGGCCTCGCATTGTCTAACAGGTGTTCAGCCTGAGTGATTAATTTTGTGCAATACAGAAAAAGAAACGAGCTAAGATTCTGGTTTTAAAATGGAAGTAAGTAAAAGTAGATGGGAAAATAGTTTTTCCCACTGCAGCTTAACTTCCTCCTAGATGCAAAATATGGTCCCTGCTGTCTCAAATCAACTAGCTCTGCAGCTCTACAAAGGATTTAATACACTTTCAGCTCATTGGTTTGATATTTCACATCTGCAGTTTCTCTATTTCGCTTCAATCAAAACCAGTCTCAACAGATCAATAGTGCTCTGCTTGGTATCTGTTCAGAAAAAGAGACAGCAGTTATAGCTCATTAGGCCATGTGAGGCTTTTACCAGATAAACAAAACAGAGACTAAACACTGGCTGTACAGTTAGATAAATAGACTGATAGGGAGATGGAGAGATCATGTGTATGCAAATGTGTTTTTTTAATCTTTTGCGTATAATTTGTCGCTTTGTCTCAAAGCTTTTTGGATTAATACGTTTTTCAGATATCCATTTCTGAAATGGAAACAAATTTATTTCCATAAAAAGGTAGATTTATACAATTTCCTGCTTAAGTACAAACATTTAACGGTATCTGGAAAGTCTTTACAAGACATTGTAGAACCTTTAATAATCTCATTACAAAGAGATTATATTTATGTAGCCTTACAAAAGCAGACCCTTTTTTGGAAATGCATCTCGTTTTCAAGTATTCTTAAAAGCAAGATGTTTTGTTTTCTCTAAGGCTTATGAATCTGAATTTCAGATGATGCTGAATATAATCTGGGCCAGATTAGTTTATTCTGTTTACTGCTGAAGTGTTTTCCTAATGCAGCTACATCTTGACACCATTCTGCTGAAGAGTAAGCTGAGCCATATCTTTACTTTGGCCAAATTGTTGACTAACTCTCTCTCTCTCTTTCACACACACACACACACACACACACACACACACACACACACACACACACACACACACACACACACGCAAGTTTAGCTTTCAAAGGCTGATGAAAAAAGAGCTCTCAGTTTATTGACAAATGTGTAACTCCAGATAAGGTAGCAAACTCTTCTGACTGAATTAAATATGCGCTCTGATTGAAGAGTGTGGATTCTTTTGCAGCTAAATCCGTTTTTCTTTTATCACCCCTTTCCAGCTGTTCATTGGCAGTTTTGCTTGTCGTCTGTAAAAAGGGATCAAGGCTTCTGAAATAAATGCCTTAATTTTATTTCACTTTTACTCTTCACTTTTACTTTCTTCACATTACTCATTTAAGCATGTCTAAAACTCACAAAAGGCATGTTAAATCATGTTCACACTAACAAATTTGCTGCATGCAAACCTAATAACTGAAAAAATATAACAGAGATGGTTGCATCTAAATACTGCTGCCTTCTTGTTAGCATGTTTTGTGCTATTAGGGGTCGATTTGACAAAGCGGGTTAACTGACAACTCCGAAATTAGGGAGACTCTGTGTTTTCTGTTTCACAAAGATAGTTTCCTCAACCCTTTGTTTTTGTTACCATAGTAACATTCTCCCCAGAGCTAACCTGGTCAGTAGCGGGTTTTGTTCAGTAAACTCAGTGTCCTCATTCTCTGCTTTCCTTAGAGTCCATAATGTTGTTTTATTTCCTGATTTAGTCAGATTTTTGACCTAGTTTTATGCATAAAGAAAAAAAAATAATTCTCTAGGTCTGTTAGAGACATTAAGTCTTTAAAAACAGACATAACATGTCCATTTGACAAGGATATTACTAAAGAATTATCTTTTTTTCCACAACTCAGTGGACAGGGCATGAGATTTATTTGTTTTTGTTTTGTTTAATACGGGCAACATGCGGATCATTTATTTAGTTATTTAATTACAATAGACAAAGAACTACTGAAATTATCTTCGGATAACATATGTATAGATAAATTCCGTGAGAAAAAAATGATAACATTCGAAATGGCTGCAAACAGCCACTCAGTATTCACTATGTAATGGAAGAAAGAATAAAACTGAGGAGGAACCCCATGACACGATGCACAGGTCCTACCTGTTAGAACGACATTTTTAGACTTCATCTTCACCAGCTGCCAGATGATTTCACCTAAATATATACATTGGTCTGCTACCATTCTAGAAATAAACTATTTGGCAAGCTATTTTCATATTTATTAGTTTTACTGAACTTGTGTTTGTGATATGTGAAAAAACCTTTTTCCTTGTGAAGAAGATTATTTCAAACAAAATGACATTTTTCACATCTAGATTAAAGATCTTGTAGAAATTCATTTCAGATCTCCATATTCCTAGCATTTGTATTATTTTGACTTTGAAGAAATGTATTTTGGATATCATAAATACATATTCAGTCAAGCTGATGAAGGTCAAAACAGCCACTTAAAATGTGTAAACATTTCTAGATATATGAAACTTATTTCGTACTAATATAATTTAGTTTTCTTACTTCCTAAAATTGAATTTCTGCTGAAAAAATGTAATTAAGAACCTCTATTATTTGATTTTGACCTGGAAGAGTCCTATTTTAGTGATCTACAAACAGTTTTTGATTCTACATTTAGTCATTGTGGCGTTTTCCTGTTTGCATTTTTTTGTTGTATTTGCATATTTTGGACATGCATGTCATTTCATAATTTCCTGCATGTTTTCACCTGTTTTCAGCTTGTTTTATTTTTTGTTTGTAGCATTTTTCTTTTGCTTTTTATGCTTTTGTGGTTTGCAGTTTGCATCGCACACATTTTTGCAGCACGTTTGTTTACTGAGCGTCTGCTCTGTATCGACCTTTACCATCCTCTGCTGAACATGCACAGAAAAAAGGAAACAAAATCACTGATGCAAGCGTACTTACTATGTTGAGAAAAATAAATGTTCATTAGTGGTAGCAGTTTCTTGAGTGGCTTCAACTAGGAGAAAAATAGTTAACCAGAAGACATCTGAGCCAAAGGAAAAAAGAGGTAATCTTCATGTCCACTGAACGCTAAAGGACAGGGGGAAGTGTTCTACTTTAAAAAGTGTGATTGTTTGTGGATTTTATTTTTGAGTTTTGTCATTTTTGTGCCAAGATTGAAACACAACCTGTTTAATTTAGCTGCCCCTCTTTATTTCTGTGACAGATCCTTCTGGAGTTTCTTATATTCTCAGTTCACAGCATCAAAGCCCTTTACACACACACTTTATATCCCAACAGATGGGAGGGATTTCAATTAGCCAGCTCCCCTTGTGCGCCCAAGTGTCTCTTTGAGGCTGTCTCTACTTTTGAGAACATCTGATAAGTGTTATAAAAGGATATAAAAATACAAAAACCAAATGAAGTTTTTTTTTTTCTCAACATTTTTGCAAATCATACAAGAGGGCCGGAGGAGAGCAGAGAAGGGTTTATTGATTAAAAACAAAAACAAATTGACCTGCTGGTTGACTACATTGTGCTTGCCTCTTCTTTAATTCTTTGTGTTTATACGCTGCTTTTCCCTTGTTTATTCCACAGGGTTGAACGAATGTATGATCAATAATGGCGGCTGCTCCCATGTGTGCATGGATAGACCAATCGGCTTCGAGTGCCAATGTCCCACCGGCTACCAGCTGCTGGACAAGAAGACATGTGGAGGTAAAATGACATCGATTTTAAATAGAGATCAACAAAAATTTAGAATACAATCATATCATCCCCATTCTGTCAGGACTTCATATAATAAAGTTTATTTGGATTTTATGTGATGAACAAAAAGAAAAAAGAATTATGAAAAGCAACATGAATCCATTAGAAATGCAAAACCAACCATGTAGAAACAAAGCAGACTTAAGGTTCAAGATGCTTTGGTCAGATACCACTGAAAATTTCAGCTAATATATCTTAAGGAAATTAAAAAAACACAGAAGGAACTACTGCTCAAAAAAAAACAAAAAAGCCACAAGTCTTCTCTTTGAATCACACATCACTGTCTGACCACGCACACTGAACATTGTTCTGCTGGAGATTTCTCCTTGTTTTAAAGTGGGATTTTCCTCCCCACTGTTGCAGCATGCATGCTCAGAATGAAGGATTACTGCAGAGTCAACAACACACTGCAAGCAAATATTTACTCTCTCCACATGCTCATCCAGCAAGAGAGACTCCTGCAAAGTCAATGACTCACTGGCATCAGCTGGGTTTTCTTGGATAGAAAACAATTTGGCTGGATGATCTGATTAAATTGTCACCGTAAAGTACCTTAAGATGACACATTCTGAATTAGAGCTGTATAAATTAACTTTACTTAACTGAATTGAACTAAGAGCCAGGTCTTTTCCAACAGCAGTCAGATTTCCCATGATGATGCTCCTAAACAGCATTTTCAAAAGATTTGAAAAGGTGGACCAACGTGATATTGAACCCTACGGATTAGACATGGGATTTTTCTTAGCTGAACATCTACAGTAAGTCAAGGAGAGTGGTCAAATGCTGTGAGGCATTAAGTGTTTATAAAACTCCATCCTACAGTCCTCCTCCTGGAATAGCATTATATGCAGGCTAAGCTCCCATAAACTGAGATGGATTTCT